CAGGTGTGAACTCAGTACCGGTAACCAACAACGCTACTGTACCATCATCATCGTTCACACCTGGGAACAGCTAATTAAATTAAATTTAAAAATAATGAAAACCCGTTCAATGAAATTTTGAAACAACTTAATGTTGCAGTTTCGTCAACCTCAACACTTAGAATATTACTTCTGAATATACTTAGCGTACTCCACCCGACCTCAAGTTTGCACGACCTGCAGAGACGGGTTCAACTTTGCCCGCTTTGCCGCAGCAGTTCAACACCTACCGAATATCCCGGCAAAATATTTGCTAAAACCCCGTCACCCTCAATCTATATTATAAACACACTATTAAACGATGTATTTTTACGTATTGAATCTTTAACAAATCCCGTGCGAGCCCTAGCATACGCTATCACACAGTCTTCAACAGGTTCTAACACCCAATAAAGGATTCTAGACAAACTAATAAAGTGAGGGTTTATCGCTAAATAATGAATGAATGAATGAATGAATGAATGAATGAATGAATGAATGAATGATTTATTCCGTCAAATTTGCTACAAAGTACAATATTACCTTTTTACTATAATATTAAGTTTACAACATGAAACAATCAAAAACAAAACAAGAAATAACAAGTAAAAAAAAACAAAAAAAGTGAAAAATAATAGTACACACTATTAAGATAATACCGGCGAATTACCTGTATACTCCAGGGATCTTCACTAACACACTCTTTGCACTACGTAAATTCACTTTAGCGGCAAAATCACTAGTACCACTCTAAGTCACGTCCTAACGCTGGAAACCGCAGAATTAGAATGTCGTCGCATCCCTAGCCCACAAGGGATCTTCCCTACTTCCCCCTCCCTAACCCCTTAGGGATGGGGAATCAGCTGATTCACTTCCCAGCTGATCGGTGACGTCACGAGTTCAAAATTGGCGCTGTCACAACACAACGCCAAGACAGCCGACTAGTGGTACAGGTTATGTTGTTACTGTTGTTATTCACCTGCGCCGACTGTGAAATTATACTGCGGAACTTTAATATCGTCTCTGGTTTAAACAAAAAGTATAATTTCCACCCGTGACGTGTAGCTTAGTGTGCGACAAAGTGTATGCATGTTATGTAGTGATATTGTATTGGTGATCGCGTTCACCACCCTAGCCTAACCAACAACTTTGACCGTACTTCCCAAAGGTGTATATTAGCATAGACAAAAAGAATTAAATATAGACCGTCAGCTGTGCTGCGGTTACCATAGCTTCTGGCGCACACCGCTTGGAACGCCATGTATTTACGGCAAACGCGCTACGTAAACTGTAGCGGTGTGCGCCGGAACCTATGGTAACCATGGTAACCGCAGCACGGCTGACAGTCTATATTTAATTCTTTTTGTCTATGATATTAGGCATGGGGGTTACACGGAAACGGTTTATCACTCGTTTTGTACACAACGATGCAATACTGTGACTTGTGAATCTCAAAAATAGTGTCTTTAGTGATTTTGCCAAAAGTGAGGTTATCCCTACTTCAACCCTAGGATAGGCCTAGTACAGCCTATTTACCTTACCATGATAGGTTTACCACTATCACCAACCAGGTAAGGAATAGGCCTACTGATAATTAAATAATAAATATAAAAACTTAACCCCTCTATAATTTTGACCCATTACAGCCGGGTCAGCTAGTAATCCCATATTAATTACTAGCAGAGTACCCGTCCTTCTTACGGGGTTGGCGTATAAGTATGAAATGCTTATTGCAGTTATACTCGTAAATAATATACTGTTTCGGCAATTCGGTAAATTCCGAATAGGTAGGTCTAAATATAATAACAGTAAAAGCAAAGTTAGAGAAATTAAATTAAAATTTATTGTTTACATTTTAAATTGACATGTTTGCTTTAATACTACGGTTAAAACTTCCGCGAGGGCCATGTACAGTTCCTAATCATGTACTTTTCACTGCTTACGCTTCTTCGAAACTTTTAATACAAAAAGTATACATTTCATTATCTAAATCATCGTATAACATCATCGTAGCCTCTAGTAATCTCTCCCGTGAACTTATGTTACGCACCAACCATGTGTATTGTACGCAGTCTAGGAAACCACTCACGGCAGCTGCGTTTTGGGACCTGGACAAAAGCTGCAGCGCATCTAAACCGCTGCGCATTTATTACGCGTCTAGGAAACCACAGCCTAACTCAGGTTTGACTGCTCTGAGAGCAGTCGGTCAAATACGCAGCTATTGGTGCGCGCGCATTAGATACGCAGCCTATGAAACCGCTTACACGAAACTCCATAAGACAAGTGTGCTGCGTCTTAGATGCGCACACGCAGCGCATCTATTTATTTATTTATTTATTTATTTATTCATTCAACGGTAACACCATTTTTACATTAGAATATACATTATTAGAATATACATCTATTACGCGTCTAGGAAACCACAGCCTTAACTGTTCCTACTTGGCGGATAGTTAATGGCACAACATTATTGTAGGTTGCTATCAAAGTACTCAGCAGTGCTGTGACATGGTCTATTCATCATAAAGTCTTTCACAACCATTTTGAACTTCCTAAATTGTAAAGATATTAAATCTCTTGTTGAAGAACTTAATGGCGGAGGTTGGGGGAAGTTATGTGTTCTGCACGATCTTGCCCGAGGGACATTAAGATCCTTCTTAGCTCTTGTGTTATGAGCAAAGAAATCCAGCTTTTTTCATCCAAGTAATGCTAAAGTTGCCTACATTGCAATTGGTTTCGACGTCTATGTACATACACACCTTATAGGGCCTTCATGCTGCCGTGTAGAAATGAGAATTTGTATGGCCAAGCATTTTATAGTTTTTTATTGGTGTTCATGTGTATGAGTCACGTGTCTTCCAGCTTGACAATGATGCCATATGTCGAAACAGGTCGCCGTATAGATGACTTTAGGATTACTTGGACAAAAAAATGTAACTTACCCTCTTGTATAGGCATATAATTTGTGAAGTGATTCGGAAGGTAATACACTAAATGAACTGCTTGGTGTTTTAACACTGCTTTTTATTTAAATTCTTGAGGTTTCTTGAGATTTCTTCATTACAAAACATTTGGTTACTAGTTACTATACGATGCTGGTCCCATACTCAGAACTTCTCACACTGTTTGAAATCGATCAGTTGAGTACTAGGCGTAAAGTGTCAATGATGTTGTATCTGAGGCGGTTGGTGTGTGGTGAGCTCGACGACGCAGCACTGCTGTCCCGTGTGCGGTTCACGTTTCCCAGACACAATTCACGTTCGCGTTTGCTCTTCTCCCCCCACTTCTCTAGAACGAACCTTGGAATGTGTTCGCCGCTCAACTCAATGGTTAGGCTGTTCAACACAATTAATAACGACCAAATAGACATATTTTTTAACTGTCACAGTATGTTCAGGAAATACGTTTTTAGATGTTTAATTACTCCAAATAATTATTGTTATTAAATTAATTACTCTGTTCAGACTTTGTTGTTGTATTTTATTTATTTAATCTGTTATTGTTGTTATAGATATTTAAATAATTGCCAATGTTATTTTTTAAGATATTTATTTGTACGTTATTTATTGATATTAGTTCGTTTTTGTCATATATTGTATTGTTGTGAGTGATTACACTAATAATTATAATTTATTCAGCAAGATGAACTTTTACCATATTTATTATTTATAATGCATGTCAAGATTTTGTTGTTAGAATATTAATGCTACAATGTAACTGGGTTTATCCTGTTTTGCAGCATTGTAATAAAAGAAATAAATAAAATAAAATAAATAAAAAAATTTATTAAATTTTATTTAATTGATAGCAAGTGGCTTTAGACTAGCCTATTTAACTTCAAATCAGAAGCTTTGGAAAATGAAAAACTGTCGAAGGAAGGAAGGAAAGAGGACTGTGAACTGACAACCAAAATTGGACATCAATTCGCTAACCTACAAATTGTATTATAAATAAATCTTTTTTGTGCGTTTTCCATGCCAATGGCATTTTGAGACCCCGGTCTTGTTACTATCTAACGCTGACCTTTTTTTATATAATTCATTAGCTGTAACCCGTGGGCTTTACCCCGTTTAACTTCTTAATTTTCAAGATGATCTCGTTCGCATGGCTCACGTCCTGGTTGAAGTTCGTTTGCTACGCTCACTCACCTTTAGGTTGGAGCTCGTTCGCTTCGCTCACTCACCTTTGGGTAGGAGCTCGTTCGCTGCGCTCACTTGCCTTCAGGTTAGCTAGTTCGCTACGCTCACTTGCCTTCAGGTTAGCTCGTTCACTACGCTAACTCACCTCCAGGTTGAAGTTCGTTCGCTATGCTCACTCACCTTTTGGTTGCAAATTAGCTGTTGTCATAAATGTAAAAGAAATAATAGTGCTGCACCCTGTTGGTAATCCTTGTAACTTTAATGCTATTGAACATTAAACAGAACCAACTTGTTTAATTGAAACAGCTGTTAAGATTCATTAATTCCATTTCTCATAAGGTTAACATGGGAAACTCCAGAGCCACTGGGGCGGAGCCGATTGGACGGATCACGAAATTGATGGTGTATAAATAAACCTATTCCATGAAATTCTACACGTATGTACCAAGTTTCGTGGCAATCGGTTCAGCGGTGTCTGAGTTTATCACTGCCAAATATACAAACATCCTCTTTTATACTTATAGATATAGTCCAATGACCAATTGCATTTGGGTATGGAAATGAGCTCGCTTGGAATCGAAACGGCTACTGATACACTTGAGTAGCTTGTCCATATGACTTACCATTATAGTATGTGGTTCATCAGCATTGTACCGTGTACGTGTTATTAAATATGCAGAAAGTAAATAGGAGTAAAAATATTTCTAAGAATACTTGAAATCATCATCAGACCCAATACGGGAATCATTCTCTTTACATCACGGCACAGGCCAATGTCCAGAGTTACGGCCTCAGTTTATTAAAATAATCATAGTTAGCCTAATCTATTTTTATTTTTTACAGTGCCATAAAATCAATGGAAAATGCAGACAGTACGTTTCTTAATATTCAAGAACTTTTGAAAACAGCAATTTTTTTGAAGCAGCAGATTAAGTATGAAGAATCAAGAAGGTAAGATATTATGAAGTATTATTTGTTAGAAAAAGATTGTACCATTCGATGTCCTAGGGTTGTGATTTTAAATTAATTTTTTTACATGATTTTTATTTTATGTTTGAGTTAAGTGAATCTCAAATTAATAAAATCATTTCTCGTTTGAAAGAATTGAAAGAGTATTTTTATTTATTTGTATCATACTGCAACGCACATACTATATTATAACATAGTATGGTAACGTAACAATGGTGAATGTAGACCTAATTTCATACAACTGATTGGGTTCGAAATGAACCCTAACTAACGTACATAAATTTCACTGCAATATTTCCTCCAATAAAAAAAAGTTTGGTATGAATTTCAAAATAGAATTTTTTTTAAATGTTAAGTTAATTTTTGTACGGTAAAATAATAGCCAAAATCAATTAATTATGGCATTTTCAATGAATGTTTATTAATCATCCTGACAGTTTAAAGCCTAAGTGGCGAGAACCACTTTAAATATAAGGACACTTAATATTTTTACTCAATTTTATAATACGTATTGTAGCCACCAGAGCACGATTTTCTTCAGTGATTCCTTCATAGTTTACAGTATTTTTTTGTGTTTGTTCCAAAGCATTGTGCCTTTATTTTTCTTTGTTGTAGTTTAATGTTTTCTGTTTTGTAGGTTAGCTTTGCCCTCTTGAATTGAAGTGTAATAATTTCATGCTTGCATTGGATGTCTACACAGTGAGTATGTTTCCCCCTTGGCCAAGTGCATGGCTTTTTGTTAAATAACTTTCTTGCTTTTTAGCTCTTAGGCACATCTACAACTTAACCAACTACAAAAAGAAAAAGAAAAGGAAGAACACAAGTCATTTTGAAATTAAAACAAAGGCTACCATAGAATATGATATGCTTTTACACCGCTGAATTCTGACGCCACTACAATATTTTTTTCACCTCTTGCAGCTTTAGTGAATGAACAAAGACATTTATGTACATATGAAATTTCTCACGAAGAGCCAAAACAAACAGGGAATTAGTTGACAAATTGATTTGCCCTTTTAACTCCATGGATTTTACAATAGTTTAACCGTGCGTTTTTATAGTATTTGCCAATACAGTAGAACCCCGATTAACCGAATTCGGGTTAACTGAAACCCAGTTTAACCGAAACGGCTCTATAAAATAATACAGGGCTAAAATATAAGTAATATGTAATGAAAATGCTTCAGTAACTTCAGTTGTTTAGATTAAAGTATTATCTTACCTATTAAAAACATTTCTATAGCTGAAATAAATCACTGTAGAATTATAGAAATTGTTTTAAATTAATCTTTCCTACACACCATGGTAATAAATAGGCTATTTTTAGCATATGACGGGTTAACCGAAAAGTTGGTTATCCAAAACGGCTCTTCCCCCTTTATTTCAGTTAACCGGGGTTCTTCTACTGTAGGTGTAACAGAGTCGGAACTTGAACCCTTAATCTAATTTCAATCTCCCTAAACCCCATATCTTGGCTTGGTACAATAGATATGTACCGAAGTATGTTACGTAGCATAACCGGATGAATAACAGGGTTACCGTAAGACAAATGTTTCCGAACACCATTTAAAAAAACCAATAGTTCTGACAAAAACATTGTCGATGATCAGTTTGCAGTTGTTAGTAAATAATGTTAGTAACGTTGACAACGTACATACGGCAACAAACTCTCAGCAACGTTGATGAAATAGCAGAATGTGTCCACCTGTTACAAGTCTTTTGTTTACTTTTTCCTTGTTATTTTGTGTACTTGGCAACCCATAAGACAAATGTTAAATTTTTACATTTCAAATGAGTTGTGTAGAAAAATACGAATTTTCCTGAGATAGAGCCTGACGCCAATAACGTTTTTAGGGCTATAAGTCCCTAATTCCAAAATTTAGTCAACATCCTGCTAGATTTCGAGATTTTTATTACAGACAGACAAACCTCGGAGTATAGAATATACCAGATATATTCAATTATTATGCAATTTTAAATCATATTGTATGTGTTTTTAGTTTATTACACATTGTGAAATTTTATTAAAAATATCAGCCTTGTAAAATGTAGCTATTGCATTTGCCCCATCAAGTGTGTAATAATTTTGTGATTAATTAGACATACACATTTATATTCTTACAATTTTTATTGAGTATGCTTACTCTTAAATTTGTATCTAAAAATTCAATGTAACTAGTTTTTATTGATGCTTTTACTTTAACCAGAAGATATTTGTAGAACATTATGATTGGTAGACCTGCAGTAGATGGAATAAAAATCTTGGCTGAATAAAAAAACAAAAGAATGTCATCTATTTTGGTACGGTAATTCAATATATCCAAATGGATTTTTACAAATGTTTTTGTTTCTTTATTACCACAGGACGATATTGTTTTCACCAAAGGCCTGTGTAGCCTTTAAACACAAAACAATCTCAATTATTGGCGTTATACTTTCAAAAGCTTATCAAAGCTAACTTAAAGCACTCATTGAAGTGACTATTGTTACTTAAAATAAATATTCAAACCTATTAAATGACCAGAGGACTTCTTTCTAGTGGTCTTAAAAGTCTACATAACTGTTAGTGTTACTTCATTTAAATAATCTGTTTTTGTTACAACATATTTCCAGATAAGTTTTTTACTGTGGGTAATAGTTATAAAATAAAATTGCGCTTTTTGAATGAATGTCAGGTTAAGAAAGGGCCATGTGGCCCTAACTTTGCCTGAAAAATTAAACGATTTTTAATTTTAATTTTTGTTTCAGGGGTAAAAAGGAAGGGTCATCCGTCTATAAAAGGCTATCTGCACACATTACACTAGATCTGCCAGATTTACCCGAACTGTCAGATGCTTTACGTGAAACAGCCAACCGGGTTGAGTCTATGATGCGGCATTCCACTACGGACAATGTTCAACATTGAAGTTTTATGACTTGTGCAATCAATCATTTATTTGATACTTCAGTGTGAAATCGACTGTCTAAATGTGTATTATTAAATTGTAAGGACTAATTTTGTGGTTATGTGTTAACCGTTTTCATTTATCATTCTCAGTAGAACTTAACTATGAAATTGTGCATTATTTCCGGTCGCTATTAGGGCACAACACATGAAGACAACCCTTTTGCCACTCCTGCCAGCTACTGAGCCAGTCATCGCTATGCACGCAGAGACCTGTGGATTACCATACTATCTTGTATTTTAGTTACAGTAGTTGTGCTTTTTACTTTGTTAAGTGCTGTGGTAATGAATGGAAAAGGTTCGTGGTTGCAAGACAAACATAAGAGCTTTGAGAAAATTCGACAGCACAGAAATTTTATTAAATTAAAGTATTGTTAACACGTTTACAATGTCTTTTTAATTATTTTCCGTATTTATCCGACCTTTCCACTTACCATGTTATTGCTCCTGGTTCAGGTCGGATAATGAGACTTCTTTATCAGTTTTGTGAAACGAGATGCACAATATTCAGTCACCGTTACAATGGGTTTGAAAAAATTGAAACTGAATCATTTCAGACTTAATTTTTTGGCTTCAAGAGAGCACAGGTAAAAAATACTTGACAATGATATTTACAATAAATGCAGACGACGTCACAGGGAATGTTTTATTTCTTCTTCTTACTGGGAGCAGTGTAGGCCGGTGCTGCTGGACGCTCATGAGTCGCTTGAGAAATGCGGTTGATGAAGTACAAAGCAACCACCGAGAAGAATAAACTGGAAACAGGATAATTTTGTTACACAGTAGAATCTCATTAATGGCTGTGAGCTGATATTACAGGGTTTCAAAAGAAAACACAATTTCATAAAATAGCTTTTATCATTCATTTTTGGTCACTGAAGAAGAAATCCAATCATTGTTGTAAGAAAGACTTAGTAAACCAAAAGTATGGCTTTTATTCATTCAAAATTACAACCATGTTTTAGTTAAGAACAAATACAATATTTACAAACAAATCAAATAATAAATATTATCAGGTGATAATGTTCACATCACCACATTCTCCCCCACTATTTTTCAAGGTAGGTATAGCATATGTAATCCTTTAGATATGACGGAGGCTTGACATTCCTCTTTGGACGTAGTTCCCCCACAGCCGTCTCTGAAGTTGGGGTCTGAGATACCGATTGTTGAGTTTCATTTTGAACTTCATTGTGGTCAATGTCTGAATTTATATTTTCAACAATCTCTCTCTCAGTAGTGTTGTCTTCATGAGGTAGATCACCAGGAGGTAGGCCAGCGGGTGCAAGATGTCTCAGGGATACTTGTGATTCTGACCCATCTCTTCTTCTGACGAGAGCGTACTGTGGATTTGATTCCAAAAGTTGAACTGGCTCCACAAGGTCATCATATTTATTAGATCTTACAAACTTTCTAAGCAGGACAGGACCAGGAGCGGATAGCCAAGATGGTAAGGAGTCTCCATTGGTAGTTCTTCTGCTATGTATAAAGAATCTTTCGTGCGGTGTGCAGTTTGTCGCAGTGCATAAAAGAGATCTGACTGAGTGAAGTGCCTCCTGTAATACTTCTTCCCATGCAGCAACTGGCAGGTTGTGGTTTTTCAAAGCTAGTAGGATGGTTCGCCATATTGTTCCATTGAAGCGTTCAATCTGAGAGTTCCCTCTAGGGTTATAAGGTGTCGTATGACTTGTAGCTACTCCGTACTTGTGAAGAAAGTCCGTCAGTTCTCCCGACATGAAAGATGAGCCTCTATCTGAATGTACAAAGGACGGGGCTCCAAACATAAAAAATAGATCTGAAAAACATCTGATAACTGTTGCTGAACTAATGTCCTTACAGGGGTAAGCAAATACAAAACGAGAATACTCGTCCACCATGGTTAAAAGGTAACGGTTTCTGGTTGTTGATGGAAGAGGGCCCTTAAAGTCAATATTTAGACGTTCGAAGGGAGTGGTTGCCTTTATCAATTTGCCTTGGAATTGGTGAAATCTTGGCTTCACTTCTGCACATGTTTGACAAGCTGACGTCATCCTTTTTACATCATCCAGAGTGTAGTTTAGATTTTTAGTTCTAATCCAATGAAACATTCGAGTGACTCCCGGATGGCAGAGAGATTTGTGTAATTCAAACAACTTGGCATTATCCCAGCGAACCGCACATGCCCGAGAGAGCGTATCTGCTTTTACATTCTCCCTACCAGGTCGGTACACTATTTCATATTGATAAGGTGTTAGCTCTAGTCGCCATCTCATAACCTTATCGTTCTTGATTTTGCTTGTATGCCTCTTGTCAAAGATAAATGATAAAGCTTGCTGATCCGTGTATAATCTGAAGTCTCTTCCGATAAGAAATGATTTCCATTTTCGAAGGGCTTCGACAATGGCAACGGCTTCTTTTTCAACAGCTGAATACAGCTTCTCAGATTTGTTTAGAGTCCGTGAGAAAAAAGCAATTGGCCGATTATCTTGACTCAAAGTTGCTGCCACGGCTATGTCAGATGCGTCAGTCTCCACTACCAGTGGCTCTTGCCCATTCCTAGGAGTAATTACTGAGTTTGCAATGTCAAGTTTGAGGGCTTCAAAATCTGCAACCGCTTCCTGCGACAAAGGAAAAGAATTTACTTGTGTCAGGTTTCTTATTTTATCAGAAAACCGATGTATCCATTTTGAATAGTGAGCGAAAAATCCTAGGACTCGCTTTAGTGAAACTTGGTCTTTGGGCACAGGAAGTGACAGTAGAGATTCTAGCCGATCTGGATCAGGTCGAATAGAGTTATGGGAAACTAAATGTCCCAACAAGGTTATTGAAGTCTGGTTGAACTTGCTCTTTTCGTTGTTGATTACAAGTCCATACTTAGTTACAGCATCTAAAAATGTTCTTAGATTCTCATCATGATCCTTTTGATCCTTTCCACATACGGTCAAATCATCCAGATAGGCATACACTCCATTCAGTTTTTCTTTTCTAATGATTTGGTCCATGGTCTTTTGAAAACATGCCACCCCGTTGGTTACGCCAAACGGAATTCTTCTGAATTGAAAAAGACGACCAGCAGCCTCAAAAGCAGTGTACTTCTTCTCTTCGTCAGAAATTGGTATTTGATAGTATGCTTGCTTTAGATCAATGGCACTAAAAACCTTGTTCGTCGCTACAGTGGATACTAGATCATCTATGTTTGGTAAGGGATAGGCGTCTAACAGAGTAAATTTGTTTATCGTTTGTGAATAGTCCACACACAGTCGCTTCTTCCCTTTGTCGTTTGTAACAACCAACACCTGTGCACGCCAAGGTGACGAACTAGGTTCAATGATCTCCTCAGTCTGTAGTATTTCCATTTCTTGTTTTATAAATTGCATATCTTCATCTGAGTAACGTCGTGATTTTGTGGCTATTGGCTTACAATCTGGAGTTAAATTGCAGAATAGTTTGGGTGGTTCAACTTTGGCACAGGAGCACACCAACAGAGGAGGTTTCTTACCTCCAAACCAAACCTGTATATTTGAGTGAAGTTTCATGATATCATGTCCGATAAGCACGTCAGTACAAAGATCTTCAAGAACAGTCAACTTAAAATTGTTGTAATTGTGATTCAACAGATTTAGGTTGATTTTAACAAACCCGTGGACGTTTGATTTCATATTAGAAGCAGCTAGTGATACTTGTCCACTTTCATTATACATTTTAATTTTGTTTAACTGAACAAACTTCAAGTTTACAAAGCTTGATGTACTCCCGGTGTCTATTAAGCAATTTGCTTTCAGGCCATTCACTTTAGCTTCAACTGTAGAGTCCTTCAATACAGATGTATTATGTGTTGTTGCTATTAGTGCAGCTGATGTACTAGACGTCTTCTGTTTTACTTTAAAATGTTGGGTTGGATTACTTTTACAGACTCTCGCATAATGCCCTGTCTTGTTACATTTCCCACAAGTTGCTTCTCTGGCTGGACAGCGATCTCTAGAGTGTCTGTCATGCCCACAAAAATAACACTTGCCATCAACATTTTTAATAGCGGAAACAGTCGCTTCTTCCTTTTGTTGTAGTGGGAATTCGTACTGACAAGCTTGCTTTGCCAAATCATTTGTTGCACAAGTTTGCATTCCGTTCATAGATTTTGGATAGCTCTCGACTTGAGCTTGAGCCATTTCAAGAGCTCTAGACTGTTCCACTGCTTCAGCTAGGTCTAAAGTTTTATTTTCAAATAGTCTCTGCCGTATGTATGACGAGGCTAAGCCATTGATAAAAGCATCACGAATGTAGTGATCCCTGTATTGAATCGCATTAACAGCTTCAAAAACGCAATCTTGGCTCAAAAGTTTCAGTTCTGACACATATTTGTCAATAGTCTCACCTTGTTGCTGTTTTCTAGTCATTACTAAATATCTTGAGAATATTTCATTCTTTTGTTTGATGTAAATTGAGTTAAGAACTCTCAAAGCGTCTTGGTAAGTTTCAGATTCCTTGATAAATCTATAAGTAGTAAAAATAATCGATTAGTTAGTAGTTTCAGTTTGTCCTTGTCTTCAACGAATTCTGTCATGGTTAGAAAGTCTTCGAATGTTTGTAACCAGTGCGTCCATTCCTCTGAGGCAGTTGGAGATTCCGGGTCAATTTGCAATTTGTCTGGTCTAAGGAATTTCTCCATTGTAATGTAGCACTAACTGAGTTTATCAATGAATGAATAAAATTGTTGTAAGAAAGACTTAGTAAACCAAAAGTATGGCTTTTATTCATTCAAAATTACAACCATGTTTTAGTTAAGAACAAATACAATATTTACAAACAAATCAAATAATAAATATTATCAGGTGATAATGTTCACATCACCACAATCTTCATGAACCAGCTGTTGCCAAATTTTGATTAAAAAATTATCACAGTTAGACCCACTCACAATATGTACGACAATTAAAAAATTCCATTTTTTTCCTGAGTATTTCTTTTTTTTTCAGAAAGAGGTAGAGTTCACCTAAGCAAGTTTAAGACCAAGGACTAACAGTTACACAAATAAAATATCACAGCATAGCACAGATGTTTTGTGCTAATATCGGATGTTCAACAAGAGACAAAACTCCTAATGTGCCATTCAGTGTTAGTTGATAGTTGATGGAGAGACAACAGTATGTTATCATTACAATTTGGCCCGGTTAGTAAAATTGGAGACTGTGAGTTAATGGCAAGAATGTAAAAACTAACCAAGTGGTAGTGCAGACCCGATGAATCATCCCTGCAGCAAACAGTGACGTAACAAGGCACAAAACAACTGAAACAAAACACAAACATTTGATAACAGATATTAATTCCATTAGAATACAACTATTCAGAATTTGACTTAGAAATATTGATCTTTAAAATTGTAGGTTAAATCCTAGTTCAACTCTTCAATATGAAAAGACCTTATAGGTACTTGCAATACATTATATTATTTCTTCAAATTAAATGGAAATTTAACTTACCTTCTGGGAAAAGTTTTGTTTGAAATCCTTTTCCAAAAATGATTGATTCAATGTTTCCCACCGCCTTGGTTGGGTTAAGGAATAAGCTGCATTTCTATTGGTTGAATACACTATCAACAATGCTGTGACACACAAGTAAAATATTGTGTATTTATTACTTGTAAAACTTATTCAATTTAAAGGAAGGAATAGTATGGTTATTACAACTGTGTAAATGGGACTGGTAGTAATTTGATTAAAGAATGTAGCAGTCACCAAAACAAAACGTCAAATACTGCACAGACCCGCCCACCCCCTTTACTCCTAGTTTAGGCTGTGCAGCATGTTATGGAAATAACACGATTCCAGATTTTATGTGTCCATTAGCATGGTAACTCAAGTAAAAATGACCTGACGTCAATGAAATTTTGTACATACTTGTACATAATCTGAGTTTATTCTAAAGAGTTTGCTACCAGCATGATCGGATTATGGGCCGGTTGATAAAAACTGTTAACTGACATTTTAAATAAAAAAACCTAGCATCCTAATTTTTTTTGAAATTACGTTATTGACTTTAAACTTCCTTCAACCCCTGACAAAAATGGCCTACCAAGATATACAAAATCTTCTCACAGACCAATTTTCAAACTATATTTTACACTCCATTTTTATTGTGTTTTCATGTTTCCCTATCAAGATGAGTTTTTAGACATATACAGTCCAACCTCAGTATAACCAATCTGAAGGGACCGAACTGAATATTCATTATATCAAGGATTTCGTTAAAACGAGGTTCGTTATATAGAGGTTAGGTTTCCAGGAATTTCGCTAAATTGAGGTTCAGAACCAGCGTCGGTCAATATAGGCCGGGATTCAACCTCATTAAAATACAATTTAAGTAGCATAGGCTACAATACTTTACGGTACAGTGTTTACATTGCACAGTAGAACCTAAATTATCCGGCAAAATAAAGGGGAGGGATCTTGAATATTGCGCAATCATTACAATGGCATTGACCTTGGTACAGGTTAAAAACTGTAAGTTTAAAATCACAGCTTGTTCTAACCCTCCTAAAACCTAGCTAAACACTGTATTGCGTAGTCATAAACCATGTAAAGAACAAAACAGTAGAAAGTTTTGTAAGCTATTGCTCGTGATAGACCGGTAGGCTACTTACAGTACAGTACTGATTTATCACAACAGAGGAATATCAATAATAATCATCAACCATAGGTGTTGCTAGTTGAAACAAATCGTATTGAAAACAATAAATTATTAGATTTAAGTCATAAAAGTGTATTTAATCATAGCCAACTTAAGGATAATAAAAACACTCGTAAAAGGATGTTAAAATAGCGATGTTGCTATTCTTTCTCTTTGGTTTTGTTTTTATATTCTTAGGTTTCTCTTTATCCAAAAAATTGTACAATTCACCATAGCTATCCCATATCGCCCAATCACAGCTTACTAAACATTACGTCGTCATCAGTCCCCAGTGAAATCAGAAGTGAAATCAGTGAGAATGAAATCAGTTCTCAGTTGCAACATAGCGCGCGCAGCGACAGCAGACAAAGATGTAAAACGGAGCAGACGAATTAGCGCAAGCGATGACGTGACCTTTCCATTTCATTTGATAAAGAAACAGATTTTCCCAAAACAATAATTGGGTAGGGGATGTGTTATATCGAGGGAAAGACGTAGACAATTCGCTATGCAGAGGTTAAATTCGTAATGTAGAGGTTCTGACAATGATAAATTCGTTATATTGAGGTGTCTTATTTTAGCCGAAATCACGGAAAATTCGTTAAATCAAGGTCGTTCTTATGGTTTGTTTGTTATGTAGAGGTAAAATATACATTGTGTCTTTTGGAGAGTTCTAGGGGATTTAAAAAAATTTGTTATATCAAGGAATTCGTTATATTGAGGTTCGTTATATCAAGGTTAGACTGTTATATAACTTATGTCGTTGCGTTTAGAAAAATATGTTGCCTTAACATCATGACTTAGATGTTGTCTTACTTTTAGTCTGACTGCTTTGTAGGGCTGCAAAGTAGGCTATAACTTGAATTAAATAGTTTTCTTTTGGAAGCATAATTTAGATGCTGGTGTATCAGTATCTGTAAACTGCCTGAAAAGACATAAACTAAGCTTATTAATTTTCAAAGGATACTGTAAGAACAAGAACAAACAGCACAGATGCCAGGTAACCACCGAGGATAGTGTGGAGCTGCGAAGAGCCTAGCCACTGTCGATACATCTGCATTCCGGAGAACAGCAATACTGTCAGGATAGATGCCAGGATAAATGATGTTCCACTTGAGGCAGCTGAAACAAAAGTATATAACTTACAACTTAAAATACAGGCTAAGTTACAAACTTTAAAACTTAATGCCCTCATTCTTATTCTGTAACTTACTGTAGTTTAAACTTAACTGATTCAGTTGTGTTTAGCAATTTAAGCTTGCTACTTTTCAAATTGAAATCGAGTTGCCAGTATAGGCTACCTAGGTACAAAGGCGATATTAGGTCTACAATGTTTGAGCTTACAAAGACCTTAATAACCGGCTAGTAGCTATAGTGTCTCGAGAACCGATGAGAAACCTCTTTAGCGAAGGAGGGGGGGGGGGGGGGGCGTGACGTCACTCTTCTCTAAAGGGAACACCATTACCGGAACGATATGAAGTGAAGCCATCGGTGTACGTGACGTAGTGGTTTGCATACTCGACTGATGTCCATGAGGTATCCAGATCGAATCCCACCAGTGACATTAACTTTTTGTCAATGATTTTGCTTAGAATGTGATTACTTCTTAACCGTAGTTTACATCTTTTGTTGGAATTCGAAGCATTTATAATTTTAATTTATGAACAGAACTATTTTATTTTTATTAGTAAACCGTCATTTGATCTTGTATCTTTTGGTACTTACGTATTATACGGAGGCCACACTTACACAACGCGCTGCGCCGGTTAGGTTTGGTCATCATGAAGCTTTTATGACTTGTCTGGTTAGATTCATAACGAAAGTAGGAAAGTCCTACAAACATATTTATAATAGACCAACCTAACCTAACCGCCGCAGCGCGCTGTAAAATAAGTGGCCTCCGTATAATACGTAAGTACCTATCTTTTTTATACTATCAGCAAGTTTGGTTGGTTAAGTTAGCTTAGGTTATGCCATCTTAAAACAGTAATTATAAAATTAATTTTATGATTAAGAAGTTAGTTTTAAATATAGGCCTAACTTACTAAAAAAATAATTGTATATAGGCTAACTAAAAATTTAAAATCTTAAATTGACGTAGGTCTAAGGGGCCCTCCCACAATTAGTGATGGGACAACCGACTGGAAAAAACAATCGACTAGTCAATCGGTTGTTTTTAAAACCAGTCGGTTTTTTCAGTCGAATGAAAAACCGAGTGAATTCCACTGCAGCTGGTGGTGGGGAGTGTTCAATCGGCTCAGCGGCAGCGCAATGGTTTCAGTCGTTGCAAGGAAAATAATCGATCACGTTATAACTGGAAACATTGGATTCTTTGTTGTTTTTTGCCTTCATGTATTATTTCTTCCGTATAAAACTCAATATCCTTTTTTCATTTGTTTTGAGGACAACATTTAAAGTTGTGTAAATGTTTAATTCTTATTATATTAATAAATACCTCTAATAATTATTTTCAATTATAACTAATTATCCTTAGATTTAAACGTAATTTTATTTTATATTATCACTAATTAATAACGGATTAACTTAATGTGAGTAAGAAAAATCAGAGCTAAATATATTTAGTACCGTTATACATCTCAACTTTTATATTGATTCAATATAATTCTTGTTTTTGTCTACAACCCATTTTTGACTTCTTTACACATTTTAGTTGTGTTGGAATAATTCTTGTCTTTTGTGATAGATACCGGTACCATACTATTTTATTTCTTCAGGATAAAACTTGTAATTTATATTTCATTTATATTATATACAGTTTTGTAACTAGCTCATCGCCACCAACATTTGTATGTAATTATTGATAATAAAACTCTTCTCAGACGTTGTTACACATTGTAGTAGCACTGGAATAATTAGAGGAAACTATTTAAATGAGAACAATTAAAGGTTTTGTGTATTCAAGTATAATTGCATAATAACACTCATAGTTATACATAACTGCCAAGTTCTAAATTACAGTAATTGTACTCACATTTTTATTAGGCCTACTATCTCAAAACAAATAAAAGGAATTAAGTGAATAATTAATAAAAACAAACATAACAAATGAACGGAATAACAAATAAACAAACAAAAGTAACACCACTCATGTTTTTGTCTACAACCCATTATGCACTTCTTTATACATTTTAGTTGTGTTGGAATAATTCTTATCTTTTGTGATACAATACGATTTTATTTCTTCAGGATAAAACTTAAAATCTATATTTCATTTAAACTACATACAATTTTGTACTAGCTCATCTCCACCAACATTTGTATGTAATTATTGATAATAAAACTCTTTTCAGACTTTGTTACACATTGTAGTAACACTGGAATAATTTAGAGAAAACTAAAGAAACTATTGAAATGAGAACAATTAAAGGTTTTGTGTATTCAAGAAAAATTGCATATCACACTCATAGTTACAGTATACATAACTGCCAAATTCTAAATTAGAGTAATAGTACACACATTTTTAGGGAAACGGACTTTCGGCCTGCGCTGCCCCTGACTCGGCCTGGGCTGCCCCTATTATGTGGTGTAAAGGGTAGGTTTCTCGGGAGTAGGTACCTGACCTGAGCTTGCGCTTTACCCACTAAATCCCAGGAATCTCCCGGAAATACCTGTGGGGTGGTGGACAGGGTCGTCGACACAGGAAACAGGGCAAATAGCATTGGAGCCAACCTTCTAGGAAATACATTACTATTGTATTAGAATACTGCTGTAATCTTTGGCATTAAGGACTCAGGAAGTGATGGTGTCTACGGGTGGTGGATATCCGCCCCAAATAAACCTATTTTTGTTTCAAAATTTTAGATTCAAAAATACGCAAATTCTTACTACATATAATAAATCTTTTATGCTTCTTTTAATACTGTATATGATAGTGGTTTTTAGTACTGTAATATGACAAATTTAAATGTAAAATACTTGCAGTTATTTGAACTTGAATTCATTGGGTGAAGTGATAAAAAACTAGTACATACTACGTAGCTCGTACTACGTAGTTCTAGCACTTGCTCAAATCTATGTGAATAAGAATTAGCTAGAACTAGGTAGTAAGTACTAGGGGTTCCCTAAATGATGTAGTATGTACTACCCTCCTAGTACCTACTACCCCCTAGTACGTACTCATAATCAAGTCACAACTGGCACGCGGCGATCATCTGTTTGCCATTTCTGTCTGCGCCTGCAGTTTTCTCAGTCATGTTGATCAAATAGGCCTAGTATTTGGTTAACTGCGCTTGATGACGATTTCGATGGCGTTGACCAGTTATTGCAAGGGTGATAAGGCAGTAGTGATTAGTGAGCTGCGACAAAAACATTTCTATTACTTTGAGAAATCTAAAATTTCGGGCGTAAAAAGGGGAAAACAGGGCGAGGTAGAAAATGTTAGATGATACAAAAAAAACTCTTGGTAAGGATTTTAACAGATAGCATGAAAAATGTAATGAAGAAAAATGGAGAGGAATGTTAAGGAAAATAAACCGACTAAGCATACAGGAATTTAGATCTGATAGGAGGAAATGAGAAGGAAAAAAATTGTTTGTAAACAAATCAACAATGTCATTCTCAAATCACAGTAACTGCTTACAGTTTACAATATTGCTTATTTCAAGGTACGTTTTCCTTTTATGGACTTGTATAAACATCGACATCTTCGCAAACGACCAAACTGAAGCATGCCCATGAGCGTACTACATAAAAATGAAGTAACTACTATGCGAGCCAGTTTTTATTCACCGAAAAGGCATAGTAGATACTACGTTCCCTAAATGACGAAGTATGTACTAGGGGTAGTACGAACTAGCATTTTATTCACCTGCAAGATATAGTTTGTACTAGGGGCTAGTATCAACTAGCATGTTTATTCACCGAAAACCGAGTAAATACTTCAAAAAGAAGTACGTACTACCAAGTACTACCTTTTATTCACCTCACCCAATATTTCTTAGGCCGCGAACGCTAAATATGTAACAGATGTTCGTGTACAGTAGTTAAACAATAAAAAATAGTGCATTTCATCACTAGAGGGTACCTATTTAACAGTACTGTATTACGAAACATTTATATGTAAAATACTTGTAGTAATTTGAACTTGGATTCTTTATTTCGTCGGCCGCGAACACTAAATATAAAAGTAACAGATGTTTGTGTAAGGTAGTAAAACAATACAAAATAGTGCATTTCATCACTAGAAGGTGTCTATTTAACTTTACTGTATTACGAAACCTTTAAATGCAAAATACTTGTAGTAATTTTAACTTGAATTCTTTATTTCGTTGGCTGCGTACGCTAAATTTTGGCCGTGAAAGTTTAATTTTGATACTTACTTGTTCTGTGTTATTTCACCTAATAACAACAGTACATTTAATTCCATCCAACATAATTTTTGTTGGAAATGCACAATGTTGAATTGTGTGTTCCAATTATTAAATTGCAAATTACATTAATTAATTGTTGAATGAAATGCATAGGGGCATTTAATTCCATCCAACTGAATTTTCTGATTTTGTATATAACAAACTGTAAATTTATTTTATTGAATGTAAATATCTACATCACTAGAAGCCTTTTTGTAGTAATTCATCATTTAAACACTGCAGTTACAAGTTTAATTTTAATATTTTGTTGTACCAATACACCAGACTGTTAATTATATAATTATATAATTATATAATATATAGGATTATATTTTAAACGCATTTTTATAACATACTTGTCTCTTGTTACATTGGTTTAGTTTTGAATTTCGTATTTTATACTTAGTGTTTATCTGGTTTTTACATAACAAATTGTTATTTACTTTCACTTTGTATTTGCTTGTAAATAGGACACTATAGTTCGGCCGCTTAGAAAGCGACCTCCTCCAGCATTGGTTTAGCATTAGCGCGCAGGTCGTTTTCTAAGCGGCCGAACTATACCAGAAGTTTTTTTAGGTAAACATTATTTTAAACACTGCAGTTTTTTGTTTACCTTACACCAGACTGTAATTTAATTAAAGTAGGCCTATCATTATTTTTATACTACGTCTCTTGTTTAAATTATCTGAATGAATGTACTACGAATGTACATTCAGCTGTTAAACTACAATTCACACTTTAAACTGAAACAAG